AATAACATACCAATTACCTTTGAGTTTCCTCTGGACTTGAATTTGTGGTGTGCACTGAGTGGCACGTTGGTACACTACTGCGTACGTTCGTATGTAAGGACCTTACTAGCTACCACCTACGACGGTACTGATGGCAGGGGAGCCCGTCTAACTCGGCAGCCTAGCCCCTCAACACATTAAAGTGGTTGATACCTTAGACATTCTCCTTGCGTAGTGCAGCTCACTGCCGATCACCGAACCTTGCAAATCACCCCTTAAGGCCATCCGAGCTTGACCACCTGAGTTTGTGGCTTGTTGGTCCATCTAGGTGCTGCTAGTCTGGATAGTGATCGAAGGACTTGCGTGCCATTATTGGGACCATGGCGGCAACACGGGGTCAATCAATGACTCGATATTGCTGGAAACGCCCTTGATGCCGCAACCATGCGACACAAAGGTAAAAAAAAAAATCCATGTGCCACACCATCACGAGAACAACGACCGCAAAAGATAGCCGAACACGCCGACTGATGCCATGTGTTTCCATGGGCGTACTCCGTACGCGGAAGAACGTTGCGCAATAGGGAAATGGGTGCTGATCTCCAGTTGCCATATTTTCGATGTCACTGTGGCTGTTATTTGCTCCTAGGGTAGGCTCCTTACCCTGGCTGGATTTGCTGGAGGTGGATGCGCTATTGAGATCGTGCAAAAGCATGATGGAGACATATGACTTGTCTCACCATTGAGAAGCTCTCTACCGCCCCAGGTTGTTAAACAGGAATCTCTTACGCCCGGCCAGCTCTGAAATGGGAACAACTGGATTCCTCCCGCTAGTGGTGGGTTGTTTGAGCCGCGCCCACGCAATTTCACACGCCACACAGTGGTTGTGGTTTCATGACAATTGGTCAGGCCCTGTTTACGCAGTAGACATTGCTCCCAAAGTTGGGAAATGTGCATCTGTACATTATTTTCCCGCAGGGACTGTGTACTGCCGCATACAAACGCCTGCCGTGCGAAAGTAAGCGCTGTCCAGCACATCAGCAGACACGCTCACAAGATACACAGGGCTTGTTCCAGCAGATCCATGCGGGACACCGGGAAGGTCGAGAGCGCGTAGACATCCTAGAAGTCAGGTAGCCATAGAGACTAGAGAGTGCCACAGGGTTGTTGCCGCCTGTTTCTTGGTCGTTGGCTTTCAAGAAACAAAAGCAGTTTCAGTGGATCCTGGCACCCACGGGCAGTTGCCCAGCATGCCACGGAGAGGGGAGCTGAACTTGTTGGCTACGCCGCTCCGGCGACGGCTGGAAGACAGAGCATGAAAAGGAGCGGTTTGACTTGCATACTTTCCGTCTGCCGGTGGTTACACCAAACCAACAAATCAGCCGAAGTCAAGAATCACAGACACTACAACGTACTTCGCGAGTAAACACCTGGGCAACCCATGTAAACCCAGCCAGCCTGCATTCCGGGTTGCAGCGACCTACGACCAGTCAACCACCGAGGCACAAGGTGTTTTGACTCTTGGCTGGGTTCTGGCGTACTAATGTGTATGTGTGCCGTCCTGTCGCCTCTCTTCGTCTCCGTTCAAGGGCATTTGTGATGCATGAGCGGCGCCTAGCCTACAATGTTCGTAACATGTATATTAGTGTCCGTATGCGTAGCCGCTATCGACCCAAGACAAAAGACCCAGAATCTTGAGACCACGGCTCGAGCATAAAGCAGGTGCGATGTACATCGGATGCAAGGAGGCGAGCAATGTCCGGGTTGCAGCGAGGTCCGTTGTGGTATCGCTGGATGTGACCATGACTTGCTATTTTAACAACGGTGACCTATCCGGTCATCATCAATAGGTAGGCATGTCTGAGGATACGGTAAGTGTGGGATATTCGGAGGCATCCACAAGAAGTTAATGACGGGACAAGGAATCGATGACTGAGATATGAAGGAAGGAATGATGAGCAGGTTGTGGGGGCTGCCTTATCCGAATAGAATGGTTGTCCGAATAACAGATCTGCTGCATGTGCCTACCTCAAGAGGTACGTACCTCTTAACCAACGCCTAAGATGCCATGCGATCTGCCAACTCGACATGAGGAATCTGCGAACACATCAAACTAGATGGCGTCGACCTACGAATTGGAAAGCTCTGCTTATTTGGTGGTAACAGGGATACGTGACTTGTGTCTCGGTCATTTGAATCACTGTTGTGCTGTTGAGCAGGCGACCGTTCCCCCAGCTGAAAGAGCCGTGGGGTGTGAGTGATAACTGATTGGTGCATGTACAGTTTCGTCTCAGACATTCGTCCTAACCGAGGCCCCGCCCCCCCTATTTCCGGTGCTGGATTGGCAGGAGGAAGGTCAATTAACAAACGCAATAAACTTCTGTTGAAGCAACCCGAGATGCTTCAATATCTTGACTGTGGGACAGCTGAATGAATACTTATTACACCATTCTCTTCGGTTTATTGATGCACCAGCAGCTCAGACATGCTGGAAAAGCAGCAAAGCCATCAGAGCAAGACACCCACATTTCGGGTGGGCATTGTCGCCGTCAACCCGTCGTCATCTCCGTTTGCTGGAGAGTAGCAGCCTGTGCTGACTGTACGGCACCCTTCGTTCTGGTGATACTACCCACAAGCAACCAACCGGGGTGATCACACAGCAGAGGGCGGTGGCTTGTTGCACCTCATATCCGGTTAACGGAGTGTCGGAGCAATACCAGACTCTGGATTCCTGCAATGCACTCATCCATGAATGCATCATATGAAACCCGCCAACAACCCGCCAGCCCTCCAGCGACAAGCAGTGTGGTCTATGCTCTTCACGTAGCGTTCTCACCCACCAACCATGGCCTGGACAGGTGGCGGCTTGTTACCCATGCTACTCAGTGTACAGCCAGTTACTAGCTCAGACCGCCGGTACGTGCCAAGTGTGCTCAAGTTTGTTGACCTGTCGGACTCTCTGTTTTCCAGCCGTCCCAAGGTCTACATGACCGATGGGTGACTGTGGGATCACCGTCAAGGAGACGGAGACAATCCGTCCATCCACCAATAACAGCATCGACGACGGACACAGCCTCATTACGCGTCAAATGGACTTGCAATCTGATATCCCGCCGAGGGTATGAATAAGTGCTCGACGAGACACGAAAATCGTATACCCATCATCATCAGTTGCATGACCGATGCGTACAAGTCTACCGGGAAGCCGCAACCCACTACAGTGCCGGCTCTGGTAGGGTGTCTTGGCATCTTGCGGACCTCACTGATAGTACGGTTATAAGTCTCTCTTCTTCGTATCCCTCTACAGACCATTATCTAGCGAGAGGACCACCTCCCGGTCAAGTCTGTGCCTCGTGTACTAGCTGTATCTCAGCGCCCCCTTTTTCTCTTTTTTTTTGGTTTGTGATGTGCGTGCATGCCAACTTGTTGCGCCTCTTGTTGCTTGCAAGAAGCTGGGACATGGGCTAACGTCCCGAGCAAGGCAACTCGAGGTTGATCATCGTTCTCCGGGAATTGCGGCGCTCAATTTGTGATTTGGCGCCATACCATCTCGAGGGTTGCCGGTTAGTTTGAGGACCAAGCCATGTTCCATCGAAATAGGCCCCCCCTGCTCTAGTGATGGCTGCTTTTAGCCTGCGTGACAGCAAGGACCTTCGCACCCAGAATTCCAGGTTATCACCTGAAGGCCTAGGCGGCGCCCCGCTACCTCACTCAGGCGCTCTTTGATGTCTCTGGAACGTTTCATTGGACAGGATGCCTCGCACAGTGCGCTAGTCCCACCATGGTGCACGGAAAGTACCACTGTACCAGCTACCGTACTGCAGTATGTTCTGTTCCCATGCATGACAAAAGGAGCAACGGCAATGGGCCTCGCAAAGATTCCTTGAATGCCTCTTCACCGTCATGGCACGGATGCTTGTGCCGGCTCCGGAACGAGCATGATTAAACAAGCCACTATCGTTTACCTCTGCTCCCTCCTGATCGGCATGGTCGAATCGATCCATAACTCGACACTTCACTTATGACCTGGCGGTGCTCGGAGAGCAAAGCGTCTTGGGTACCTCAACGTAACAACAGCTCACACCAGTTGCCCTGTCTCCTTTCATTGGCATCACCTTTTGTTCATCACGCTGTTCGTCCCGGCAGCGATTCCTGCTCACTTGCCTACCCATCAACCCCTACGGAACGATTCCTTGGTATCCATCCACCTGCACCTTGGTATTGTAGGGTACCTTACCGACAATGCGTGCGTGGGATTTGGCACGGTGAGACTTGACGTATGCCGTTATGTTCTTGTCCTGCTGCGAGTTTTCTGCAGATACCACATCAGCAGCGGTCCCTTCTCATTCTTATCTGCTACATTTCAACCACACGCCATTTGTGACCGGCTCTAGCCGAAGTATCTACAAGAGTAAACCCTGAGCGGACCATGGGAGGATAGCATGAAGTTTCGCCATATGGCACATGGTGATGGCCGGCTGCGACGCGTCTCATTACGAACCGTGTCTTGGTTTTGAGGCTGCGCACCATCGACCGCATGGACGCAGCTGATGGTCCGGATCAGAGGGCTACTCAGGCACCGTGATGGCTTTGTCAAGGCTCCTTGGCGACTTATGTCGTCTTGTCCCTTGGCTGAGTACGAGCCCAGGTCATTATCACTTGCCCGGTAATTGTGGGATGTCTTGCAGATTACTCCCTGGCACCATCTGAGGATCTGTCATCCGTTCTAGTCGAGCAGTCTGAGGCTCGAGAGACCGTAAGACCGGCAACTCCCTAGGACATGGGGTGCAGTCTCAGCCTGCTCACAGTACTCAACACATCTCGTCCCTTTCCACCTGACCATGGACTTATGCTGATATGGTCTCAGAGAAGGTTCGGAGGAAGCCTGGCTTTTATTTCACCATCAACCGCGTGAAACCAAAGGGCGGCAGGATGTGTCACTTACTCATATGACCCAGGTACGGGCAGCCAAAAAAGAGCAATTCCTGTCTTAAGCAATGGTCGGGAGAGCCAAGACATCAGGGGCTGTCCGGGGATTGAACCCGGGACCTCTCGCAAGCCGGAGCCTAATGAGTCAAAGTGAACCCAAAGCGAGAATCATACCGCTAGACCAACAGCCCAGTTCATTCGTTATAGTTGTTCAGTAGCCGTCCTGATGGGCTGCAAGGTTCTGGAGCCCGCAAAGCTATAGTCGGTTTTTATGATCTTCTTCCAAGGACATGTCATCTGGTCGTCTGCCGCAGCGCCAATGTGTACGCTCATAGATGTTGTATAACATGTTATCATCACCAGTTGGTTCTGTGGTGTAGTGGTTATCACGCTTCGTTCACAACAGTGAGCACTTTCCGAAGAGGTCCCCGGTTCGAGCCCGGGCAGGATCATCTTTTGCTGCCTGTTGTTGGCATGTCTCTTTTGTGTCCCTACCTCTTTCATTGTTCCGTCCGTCCCTTTCTATGTGTTCGTTGGCCATTTGTCTCCGATGGAAATATTAGTTAAATCAGCTACGATAAACGTAGTATCGGATCGTGTGTTCGCTCGTTGGCTAGGTAGACACTTGAAACACGAATCTTTCATCACAAACGAATGTCGACATATTCGATCCCATAACTATCTAACGTCGATGCTTACTTGCTCGGACCCTGATCAATATCCTTGGTGTGATTTATCCGAGTGGAAGCGTCCAGCTTATGCTGTCGGCGTGTGCTTACCCTATAGCTTGCAGTCCCCTTACACTTGCTTGTCTCCAGTGAATAGCCATGGATAGTTTGAGGGCTCTCAACCTCCGTGTCAATGCTCGTCCTGTAGGGCAGCGCTAGCTGGAGAGCTTGTATGTTATACTCCAGACTGAGCGTTAAATGCCACTGGTGGCAAAGGGACGTGGAGCCCCCGGAGGTATGCAAAGGGGACTGTTGATGCTTATACAGGTTGGAGTCCGGTAAATGATACCACGTAGACATACTGCACACCGGCAACGCTCTCCGGTCCCAGTATCGCATCACCTAAGAATTTCTGTAAAATCGGTAAGCGTGGACCTGATCAGATACTTAACAGTCTGGCAAAAGGCGAGGGACGATCTTCAGTATATCACACAGACAACCCAGTTGCTGTAAGCGAACGGGAAATGAAATAAAAAGAAGTATTTGATGAAACAGAGGCTTAACAAGTGAATGGACGAAGAGAGTCGAATATGTTGTTTGACACGGAGGCATCTTGAACAAGACGAAGCATGGAATTAGTCGTGCACATCACGAATCATTATGCGCTCTGCCTGGCACTTCCCTTTTCAAACAGCCAAGTAAAACGAGAAGCAACCAAGCCAAAAGCTTTACCCTCTTCCCGCTGCAAATTGCAGGTCCCATGGCAGACTGTGGTACGCTTCCACTTACAACCGCAAAGGGAGGTCGTCCAAACCCTTAGTCAGCACCTGGCAAATTTCCTAGGCGCGCATGGACCAACTGGTGAACTTCAACCAGACAGAGGATCCCGTTGTCAAGCCAAAAGATTGAATCAGGATTAAACAGCGACAACTGGCCACGATGCCTCCACGATTACCGATTCTACCAGCAGTGCGATGCTGTAGAGCGGCACTGGAGACCCAGAGTGCGTCGTCACCGCTTGTCTCTCTTTTTGCCGCTCTCTCAGTCCAGACTCGGAGCGCATCCATCCTCGCCAACCTCGCCGAGAACAAAGGCGCGCACCACAAGCGCATTCGTGTCGGCCGTGGTCCGTCTTCGGGTTACGGAAAAACGTCTGGTAGGGGTCATAAGGGTCAAAAGCAACATGGAAAGGTGGCGGCCAGATGGCAGGGTGGTCAGACACCGCTGATCATTAGCCATGGACGGAAGGGTTTCGTGAACCTGTGAGTCTGGAAAGACGTCGCAATTGTCTGAATATGTAGGATCTGCTGACACGAGTAACGTCCAGACGTGCTCCGGAGATGTCCATTGTCAACCTGGACCGACTTCAGGCTTGGATAGACGCCGGCCGTATCGATCCGACCAAGAAGATCACCCCCAGGGAACTGATCAAGTCCGGCATAATAGGCGGCAGTATAAAAGACGGCATCAAGCTTCTCGCTCGGGGCGACAGCACTCTGCGCACGCCAGTCGATATCATCGTGTCAAGGGCGTCGGGCAGCGCTATCGAGGCTGTCGAGAGGTTGGGGGGGAAGATCGTGACCAGATATTTCACCAAGGAGTCAATGAGGAGGCTGCTGGTCGGCAAGAGTGTCATCACCGATCAACCTCTGCCTGTCGGACCGGAGCATGTCGAGTCGGTGCTGGAGAAGGCAAGGAACGGGCCATTCTATTACCGGCTGCCAGACCCAACAAGCCGTGAGGATATTGAGTACTACAGGGACCCGGCACACCGCGGATACTTGAGCCCTTCGCTCAAGCCGGGCGAGTCGCCCAGTCTATACTTCAAGGTTCCTGGCGAGACGAAGAAGGCCTTCACCTCCAAGGCCAAGCAACAGGAACAGGAGGAGGAGGATAGGCTGTTCTAAGGGGACCAGGAAACCTTCAAGCGGGACTGGCCATTCAATCTTGTATATGTAACATCAAGCAACATTGCTGTATCATCAATTGTCATAACGAACATAATTCCAAGAGCATGTCCGCTCTCTGCAAGCTAAGGGTACCACTACCCATCAATTGCGTCGAGCTACCCCTTGTGGGATAACGAGGAGTACCTAGGTACTTCTCCGGTTGCGCGCCCAGCCTCCCCCGACTGCAACCCCAACCTAGGAGCTACTGACCCACTTTCCCCCAGTCCTGACGCAACCAGGGCAGCAAGGTGAGCTTCCCTCATCGAGTCGACTCTCTGCTTGATGACTTGACTGATGCTTGACTTCAATGCGCCTCAAAATTCTATTGTGATTGTCACAGGAAGGCCTGATTCTTGTCACTGATTCTCTGTCAAGGCGCCAGGTTACAACTACGGCAAACGTAGCGCCAGTACTTCCGAGTGCGATTCCAGCAAACGCCCGCCTATGAGCTAATCGCTAGTGGTACATAACTCGTCCTTTACGCAGGTCGAATTGATTCTTGTTAGACTTTTCATTTTCGGAACTGGGCACTGGTTTGTAGGATTGGTTGTATAGGACAAAACGCACGTTACGACACAATGTCACTGTTCGGTAGCTCGCCCCCTGAGGCGGCGTCACCGGCAACAGCAACGAACTTGGGCAACTCCAAGTCGTCACTCTTCGAAGACGAACCGGCCATGACGAAGTCAACATCGAGCGCCCTCTTCCAGGACGATAACCCCAGCGGCCCCGGCTCACCCTGGGACCTGCCTACGCCGCGGAAACAGAAGAGCCGGGCGGACCTACTCCGATCGCTATTACCAGCTTCGGACGTACCCGAGAGCTATATCGAGACATTCGACGCTGTTGTGCGCGACAGCGGCAGCGGAGGCCGTGTTACTGCTGGAGGTGTTGCTCGTACGCTCTCTGCTGCTCATGTTAGTGCCGACGAGCAGGCGCGCATCATGTCCATCGTTGCGCCCAACGGTGGAGGGGACCTGAGTCTTGGTAGAAACGAGTTCAACGCCCTGCTGGCCTTGATCGGACTGGCGCAAGAGGGGGAAGACCCAAGCCTGGATGGTGTCGATGAACGGCGAAGAAGTCAGTACAGCTCCCTACATTCCCTGCACTCTCCATTCCTATTTGTGGTGGTACCGTGATCGCACACCACAACCTACACAGCTCTTGACATGTCTGGACATTCGTCAACCGTCGTCCAACAGATGTTGGAGCAACTGTGCATATGGCAATGTCAATAAAGCTCAATTGTCGCAATTTCCGTCCCTGTCTGCGTCTAGCTCAAGTGGGTCCGTGATTTCAAGAGCTCCAGGGCTAACATGACGCTCGTTGTGATTCTCTAGACCTTCCTCTACCGAAGCTTCCTGGCCTTGTTGGCGATAACAAGCCTGTGCTCTCGAACCTTGGCGAACTTGCCGCCAAACCACCACAGCGTCCCGTCACGCCGTCGGTAGATACAAACCACACAGTCAACACCTCGAAACAAGCCCCCCCGATAACGAAGCCTTCGATGGACTATCCAGATGACCCATGGGGTGCGCCTGACCTCCATGCAAACCACGACCATCCGCCCCTTGATCAGCACAGGTCCAATGGAGCGGGACCAGGTGAACCAAGTGTAACGGTCAACGGGAATAGCGTGTATAAGGCATCAGAAGAGTCTGGGACACATGGACGGACAACCTCTACGTTTACAACGAGCACCATTGCTTCAGCACCCGGTGACACCTATCAACACAACGCACTATCTACCGCAGCCAGTCCTCCCGTCGGCGGTGGATGGGGATACTTTGACGGCAGCAACCAACAGCCCGGGGCGGGAGGCTTTAGCGAGCCCGCGGCGCAAGCCAACAACCCAGTTCTCAACCCTTTTGCCGGAGGTCCAGGTGGGCAGGGCGGGCAGGAACCTGGGGAAGGACCAGACCCAGCGTCAAGCCGGACGCTGGGCGGTGCGGGTAGGACCGGTAGCGGCATAGAGGAGACAATTGTGGTATCGCTTATGCCAGAGAAGGAGGGACTGTTCTTCTTCCAGCACCACAACTACGAAGTGTCCAACGCGAGGAGGGGCAGCAAGGTCATCAGGAGATATAGCGACTTTGTGTGGCTGCTGGACTGCTTACACAAACGGTATCCCTTCCGGGCTTTGCCATTGCTCCCTCCAAAACGGGTAGCCGGTATGTAGCACCCACGATGCGCTTAAGTTAAACTTCCTCTGCTAACCTGCTACAGTGAACGGAAATCATTTGTCTAACGATGGGGCCTTTATTGAAAAGCGGAGGCGCGGTCTGGCTAGGTTCTTGAATGCCCTTGTTAGGCACCCAGTGCTCGGTCAAGAGCAGCTGGTGATCATGTTTTTGACTGTTCCGACGGTGAGATATTGTACCCTTATGAAGTCAGATCGTCGACATAGATTTGTTGTGCTAATGTCACTACCGCTTAGGAGCTCGCAGTGTGGCGGAAACAGGCCAATCTCTCGGTGCAGGACGAATTTGCGGGACGGACGCTACCGCCTGGTCTCGAAGACTCGCTCTTACCCTCTCTGGAAGACTTGTTCGAGCGGACGAGAAGAGGTATCCAGCGCAGTGCGGAACTATACATCAGCATCTGCAATATCATGGACAGATTGGTCAAGCGGTCCGAAGGAGTGGCGGCTGACCATGCCCGGATCGGCCTGTCTTTGAACTCGCTGATCGAAGTCAGCGACGACACATATGCCACGGACACCAGTGAGGTGCCCCTTCTCAACGACGGCCTCATGGCCATGAGCAAGCATTTGCGTACCGGCCAGTCACTTATGGAGGACGAGGCAAAGGCTTGGGACGCCGGAGTACTGGAGGA